TGAGAAATATGGGGAATGCACCTCCAAAGCAGGAAGATATGCCCCATCATCATCTCCTAATCACCTCACAGCATGTCCCTTTCCAAACTTTACCTCCTCAAAAAGAAGGAAAACCTGGAAGATCTTCGTTTCAATGCCGTGTTTGTGCAGCTAAAGGAAAATGAAAGGACACATCATATATGTGTAAAGACTGCAATGTTGGATTATGCACAGTACCATGCTTTGAAATCTACCATACAAAAGTCGATTTTTCTAAATAAATAAATAAACATATATATATATATATATATTTATTTTTTAGTTTCCCTCTGAACCATTTTCTTTAAAGGAATTATTTTATTATAGCTAAAGTAGCAAGGTTATGTTTTTTTATTTACGCTATTTAAAATCTTATTCAAGTAAGAAAAATTAAAGGAAAAAACAAAAAAAACAAAAATGGTTTACTAATTGCCCTAAAAATTAGAGTTACCGCTGCAGTTAGAAAACGACAACTGAGCTGCTCCTGCAGCAGTTAATGGGTTAACAAATGAAGAAAAGAGCAAAGAGAAATAACTTTAATTTATGACCACCCCCTGGGTTATTAAACCTAAATACCTATCAAGATTTGATCGGAAGCAAACCACATTATCAGATTCCCAATACATTACAGGAGTAAGATGAAAATACATTACAGAATGTAATCTGAGAGGTAGAAGCTAGTGGTTATGCTTATCAGTATCAACAGACATGAGAGATGGTGCCTCATAAAAAATTTTCAGAGTTAGTTGATTTGTATAAACTTTTACTCAAACCAATTAAACAGAAGTTATGGTTTAGCAAAAGGGTCGAGAAAAGAACAATCATATTTAAGAATACTTGTGTGAAGTAAGTTCACCGAACTAATTGAGATCTCAGGATAACCCCGAAAAATGATTATAAAACATCAGGTTTTTGGTCTAAGAAGCAAGATCGACAACTGATCGAAGCCTGCTAGGAGAACTGCTGTCCGACAGAATGGCCACTGACTTCACTCAGTAATTTCAAAAATTCATAACATATTACAATTTAATGGTTATCCCCTTAATCTCTTACACTCTATTAAACAAACACTTTTAACAAATAAAACAGAACTTAGTAAAAAGCCAAACACAGTCTTGAAATATCTACTAGTTTTATCTGTTTTTTCATGGGCAAACAAAGTTTTAAACTCAAATCCTAAATTCAAAAAATAATCAAGACATATTACCTACAAATTAAGCTGTTTAGTATTTACGTCAATATTTATAACTAAAAATACGTTTAAAATCAAAGACACTTTACTCATTCCTCTGTGCTCATGGGTCGCATACAAGTGCACTTGTGGTAGCTGTAAAGCTACCAATATTGGTAAAAAGTACACTTCAAATACAAATATGTGTACACTATCACATGTGAATTTTATCCAGAAGCAGATATGAGCCAACTAATCCACCTGAATCTTGTATCCAATTACACAATGAGAATAACAACCACCTCATACTTCTTGAAAACTTTAAAATTCTTGACTCTGGAACTACAAATTACAAACTCTTTATTAAAGAGAGCCTCTCCATTTTCAATGATCACCCAACATTAAATAATAATATCAACTCCACCCTGTTGTCATTAATTTAATCAATTCCAGATTCTCGATATTTTTATTTGATAATTATTATTACTTTAAAGATGCAGCATTTATGTTTATGTTCAAGCCTTTCTTTACGATGTTTTCTCTTAATAATGTTATTAACCCTTTTGCTGCGTAGCTCGGATATATCCAAATAAACATTTATACCCACTGACTGCAAAATTCAGATTTACCCCACAGCTACCAAAAAAAGTTTTCCCTCTACTGCGACAATTGGGAATATCCCCCTGTACTTGACATAATTGCCAAATCTGTATGCGTGCTGCCATCTGTGTTCTATGCCATGAAACCTGGATGTTTATATGCCTCATTACAAAATTGCCTACTTTGCAGGAACACACATATATAATCTACATAAAGACAGCATCTTTATATCTTGGATATTGTTATCTAAATAATTTATTTTATATTTTGTAACGATTTTGGCCTCTTACTGACTTAGTTTTACTTATATTTAAGTCATTTACTGGAGAACACTTTTCTTCTAATCTTCCTCAATTTGTTTGTTTAAATCATTAATTTTCATTATCCAATATGGTTTTCAAGGAATATTATTGTCAGATATAGAAAATATAGCTTCTTTCGATCCTTAATACAACATTTTGTCACTCGGGTAACAAACTGATAGTGATGTAATAATTAGCTAGAAATTATCTTATGTAGACAAAATGTAGGAAAAATAATTCTTGAATTTTTTTTGTTTTTGATACACATAGGAAGTTAAAGGTCAAGGAGTAGTCAGGTCTAAAAAAGGAATACACTGAATAGTCAATGGCAAAACTAAGGAGTAGTCAGGTCTAAAAAGGAATACACTGAATAGTCAATGGCAAAACTAAGGAGTAGTCAGGTCTAAAAAGGAATACACTGAATAGTCAATGGCAAAACTAGAGTTATCAATATCAATGAGTTAAAAAAAAAGATTATGCACGCAACACAATATCACTACAAATCTCACTATGTACACATATATTATGACTTTCAAAAACCATAAAAGTATTTACTTGATATTTATGAAGTGAACTTTGTAACTGCTGTTTTCTTACTTTGTGTATTAAAAAAGCTTTCTCGAGTAATAATTCATTTGTAAGGTATGTACAACTTTGAAATGAATTAATTTCAGTAGCTACCACAAAAACAGATCTAGGTATAAGAAATTAAAACTACAAAACTTTAATAATTTTCTCTTCATAATGTAACAACTAAATATGTCCATTAATACTGATATACATAAAATATATATATTTATATTCATTCCATTATATATATTTCTATACAATAAGAAAAACAATATTTCATCAAATACTTTCAGTTTACTTGTACTATCTATATTATATAACCTAACCATTGTGAACCTTTGTCTATAACTAAACTATAAGGGTAAAACGATCTTTAACATAAACCTATAGAATACTGTAAAAAATGCACCATTTAACTTGAAGCACTTTATTTCTTATTCAAAATTTAAATAAATATGTCATCTAGACTGTGTATAATTCTCAACTATCAATTCAAAATTTGACACCAAAACACCAATACATTTTGACACAAAAACATGGGTACAAATTAATTCCCCTTGTACCGTTCTTCCACAGAGAGAAAGAGAGAGATTTAATGTCTTTGACCTTCTTTTCATCACCATAGCGAAGCTGAAGATGTGTTTTACGGGCCAGCCAACCCAAGGCGAGTCATGGCCATCAAATGTCTCCTCCTCATGACTTCCCAGTATGCTTCGTGTACTACTCAGGTGGGAAAAAAACATTCTTAATACTGTATCTTTGAATTTTGAACAAAGAGTGAGAGAGTATCAATAACTGTAGCTATTAAAAAAATTAAAAACCAATCCTGATTTCCTGAATCTCAAACCTGTCGACCCTGTAAGCTATTTGCTACTTCCAAAATTCAAAGATATTTGAAACTGTAAATAACTTGTATAACTTATTTTCATATCGCTATTCTGAATGTTATTTTCTAAGAATGATATTTCAGCATACAAGCTAAGATTTAAAAAACAAATTCATTTCTTTAAAAACTAATTTTAAGAACAATATTATTATTTTTTTCTAAACAACTCCCTATTATTATTTAGTTTATTATAAGACATACACTATTTGCTGGGCCTAGAAGGTCAGTCAGTAATTTCTGATAAAGATGCGTAAAAATGCTGAGATAATAAAAATATTTTTTATGTACAAAAAAGGTTGTTCCTATCTTCTTGCTAAAAATATATCATTACAAAAGTTTTACAAGTGTTCAATCTGAGTATTCTATCAATTTGTTTATATTTTTCAACAAATATGCAGAATTCTTTAACTCAAACTTTTCACGGTGAAAGACTTTCATGGCAGACACCCTGAATCAAAGTTTTAAATACAATTTAATGCCATTTCAACTGATTTTAAAATACATTACTTGGATACATATGGAAGGATGAACACATCTAAAGACTTTTGAATTACAACTGTATGACAGTGTTTTACACATTTAAACTTCATTTCATTTTTAAAATAAAATATATTACATTGAAAATTTCTAAGACTTTGTAGTTGGTTTAGGCAATGAGAACAACAAGATTTCTTAATTCTGATTAAGATCATTAAGTTTTTCATGACTCATACAATCTCCACCAGTCTTGATGTATATGTGTGTGTGTACTCTTCAATATCCCAAAGAGAAATTTATTGAAATGTTTTCTCATTTTGGAAATGTATTAACAAAATAATTTCAGAATGTATATACTAGACGAGCTAAGCTCTAGAAGACTGATTTTACTATATTATCGCTTGTAGGAATGACACACACACCATCAAATATCAGATTCTGACTTACTGGTTGTTGCACCCTGTTCTAAAGTTCAGCAGAATTTTTAAATATTGTATTTCTCATCAGCTTTCATACATGATTTCTGTTGTGTAGAAGCTTTAGTCACACTTTTGGCAACTTGAATGACAGTCAATGCTGCATCTACTTCTTTTGATAACTATTAAATAGGGAGGGGTGATGGTAGAATTATCAACATCTACTGGAAGTTAAAGGTCGGTTTGAAAATAAAATACATCCTTCAAATCATTCATAACTAACTATAATTTACTGAATTTGTAAGGAAACAAAGCAATGCATTTATCAATTAAGTTATCATAGACGCTATCACGCCTGCTGAATTTGGTAATTAATGTTTAACATGTGCTTAAATTAATTTTGTTTTGCACGCTTTTTCCGTTTGTTCTTCCTATTTATAAAACATCTAATATCAATATTGCATTATTGTTACAAGGGCATACGACTTTTTGGGTTAAGCCACAGCCATCCCTTGAATATGAGGTTAAGGTATGCTCTACATCTGGCACCTCTTAGACTAAAGTATGCTCTATATCTGGCACCCCTTGGGTTAATCCTAATCCCCCATGTACCATTTACTGAGCATGACACAAGGTTTTAGTGTCTTACATTCAAAATTTTATTAAACTACTTTTTCTTTATGTTATACCAATTAGAATAGCATAAAATCTTAGCTAATAATCCATATTTTAATAGAATACAAGTTTTAAGTTCTTAATTCTACAAGGAAATAATTTAAAAAATCCTGAAATTTCACTAGTGTGACCCACGTGACACATTTTGTCTTAGCATGTCATCATCTCTATTTTATCCATCACCCCTCGAAAATGTATGAAATTACATGTAAAATACTCTCTATAAAATTGTTATTGCTCAAACAAACTATAATTTTTATAGCCTTCAATTTTATTTGGTTATAGAGATATCAAACAAAAAATCAGACCCCTCCTGCCACACCCACCTGTCATATCCTCTCTTTCACAATTCATTGATAGTTCT